CTGAGCTAAGGAATAAAGACTTAATACGGGTGTACGTTCTTTTCAACCATGACTGCATCTTTCTAAAGTTCAAACACAGATCTAAAGACAGTCGCATACAGTCAGCTATAAACTATAGCGCCGAATTAACAAGATCATTTGTACGGAAAGTGTGCACAGGTTGTGTGCCAACATGTTTGCTCTATCAGCTTAAAAGGTGATGTATGTTTGCTCTGTCTTATCTTTTTCTTTGGATAAAAAAAGATCAGAGTTGGTGTATTTGTACTCATTGATTGTTGGTGGTGGGAAATAAAAATTGTCTCATCAACCATCCCTGAGTGATTAAAGCAGCTCTGAAGTCCTGATTTCATTTCAGTGTTTCATGACTCACATAAGTGTTTCTTTTGGAGTAGGGAGATCCAGTTTTACTCATGCTAAGTAAACTATTGCTCTATTTTTACAACCATGCTGCTAGCAGTGGCTGCAAAGCCGTCGTACGCTACCATGGTCGTTACGTTGAATGAATCGACGGGAAGGCGGCCTAGAAGAACACAGATGTTGGGCACTGGAGATTCTTCAGCATATAGAGCTCCACCTCAGCTATAAGCCTCTTTGAACCTCTCCTTCTCTCTCACACATCAGGAGTGGTTCACGGTCTACGAGCACAACCGCAGGCCCAGCTGCACTGTGTCTGACCTGGTCATGGGGAACGAGTATTCCTTTCGAGTGTTCAGCGAAAACATCTGTGGCCTCAGCGATGAGCCTGGCATCAGCAAGAACACCGCTGTCATTACCAAAACAGGTAATGAAATCCCCGCAGAGCTCTGCTCTCTGTAACACGATAGTATTGCTTTTGATGCTGAGCAACATCTAACGCATGCTGAGCGGTAGACCACATTGTATTCAATTGAAAGATAAAGTGAGCATTGTGGTTTGTAAAGGGTACAGTAGTGAAAAACAGAAGCTACGCTCAATAAAACGCAGCCTCGTATTATTTTCGCTGTAGAACACAGCAACGACATTAGAACTACCTATGATTAATTATCGGCTGTGATTAATTGCTTGAACATGGTTTAAAGCGAAATTAATTCACACTGATTACGCTTAACAGAAATATTCTTTGACAGAGTGTTAAATACCATTTAATATTGGCCGCATGTTATGAAAGCAACCAGGCTGGGAAATTAACACCTGCCACCAGCCAAATGCTGCTACTGTTTTTGTGTTGTTGCATTTGCTTACTCTCCCAGAAAACTTGGCAGCCCACCAGCCAATCTCTTTTGTGTTCCAAGCATCAGTCTGGCCTATAAAATCTGGAGGGTTGTTGATCGCGGTGCCCACCTGACCTGAGCATAAAACGAAAAATCAGCTTCCTGCCTCGATAACTTAAAAGCCAGTTGAGAACAGTTGCTTGTGTGAGAGGATGCGGCGTGGATATTACATTCCCAAAATAGTGGACAGTGACAACTGAAGGTTAATAATTATGCATTTTAGTCTATGTGTTACACGTTTCCTGGACAGAATTGACTTTTACAGCGTGCTACAAACTAGCTTGGCGTCTTTTAAACTGAGACATGCCCCACCGAAATGAAAACATCTTTCATCCACTACACCATAGGTGTCAAACTCTGGCCCGCCTAATTACATTTGGCCCGCGAAGCCATACCAAATTACTATTAGAGCTGGCCTACT